ACCCCCCACCCCAAAACACATCTACAGATCTCTTGAAAACCCCCTTCGTCTTCCGCTGTCAACAGTGTCAAGTGAGTCGCTAACAATACTCCCTCCCAGCTGCAAATGAAATCCAGACCTATGCGTACGTTTTCCCTGGCCCCCTTCGTTTTGGGCCGGTTGTGGCACGTTCCACCCTCGATTATCTTGGCTGACGGTCACGCAGCCTCCTCTTCCCACAGCGAAACTCAGGTACCGCCGACCAAGATACAGATACAGATACAGACACAGATGCAGGCTCTCTCTTCGCACAGCTATCGGTAAGCTTTCGGCATCTCCGCAATTTTTGTTCCAGTTGTGATCGTATCGCAGCGGAGGGGCTGATATTCCAAACAGCCAGACGTTTCCTTCTATCAAGATCTCCAAGATGGCCTCCAAACGCTATCCACACAAAACACCGATCGTAGCGGGGTGATAAGTGGATTTTTATATGTCCCGGACCTGGACCTGGATGACGCTTGCTACGATGTCGCGGAGAGCTATGTCCCCGCCAACGTGACTCGACAAGCCAACCTTCCCCACACAGACTTCACTTTAGTCGCCATTGCCCCATGGATCAGTGTTGATTGTGCGCACGCCTACCTAGATGCTGCCCGCTTCGACCCCAATCGAGGCTTCATCTTCTACCTTCCGGACAATAGTACGGACCGGCCCCCTCCACCCTCATCAGCTGTTTGGGATCTCCATGATGGCGGCGCATGGAAGAAGAAATACCAGTTTCCTGTATATGCTATCCCCGGAAATTCCGGACAGCAGCTACTTCTCCAGCTGAGCCTATACTCGGGAAACGTGACTAGTATCCCTTACGGTCATGAAATCGTCGAGCTACCTGGTGTGGATCCACGAGACTATGTCAGGCTATATACCGAGATTGATGCCACGGGCACTTCAACGTTTCCCCAGTTCTGGGTGTTGATTCTAGTAGTGCTGGCGGTCCTTCTTATAGTTCTGGCGTTTACCTCCGCCTGCATGCATTTAATACAGCGAAATCGACGGCGTTCTTTGCGACGCCGAGTGATCTCTGGAGAAGTTAACCTAGAGGCCTTGGGAATAAAAGCCCTCACTGTACCCCAGTCTCTCATCGACAAGCTCCCCCAGTTTACATACAGTGATAAGGGCGAAAGCCCCCACGCTAGTGCTCAACAAGACAAACGGCCTTCTGGTACCCCTTTATTCGACAGAAGTAGCTCGAGTGCGGGATTTACAAGTCACGCCTCGGGTGCCCTTGATACGGATTCTGGAGTAGTTTTGCCTTCGGAACCGACGGTTGGGGCCGTCCAAATTCCGGGTGCAGTCGCGATGTTTCCTCATAGGTTTCTACCATATACCCAGCCGACGTGCGCCATCTGTCTGGACGATTTTAGATCCGAAGTTACACATATCCGAGAACTTCCCTGTGGACATATTTTCCACCCAAGTTGTATCGACAGCTTCTTAAGCACCAACAGCTCGCTTTGTCCGATGTGCAAGAAGAGCGTATTACCTGTAGGGTACTGCCCTGCAAAGATTACCAATGGCATGGTCCAACGAGAGCGGAATTTGAGAAGGCTACGATCTAGAGTCAGGTTTAATGGCGGCGACGCACCCACCGTGATAGGTAATGCGTGGAACCAAGTTAAATACTTCGGTTCCCAGCTTAGATACACCACGACTATGACATTGTTTCGATCTCGAGAACTACCCGAAACAACAGATTCCCGATCCATACCCATGGCAAATGCCATGCCAGCCCGCCCCAACGAGTCGGTTCTTGGTAATGAGGTGTCACAAACTTCCAGGCCTGCACAACCAGAGCCGGGTACGCTGGAGATCCGTGATCTGGGAGCTCAAGAAAACCAGCTTCAAGATTTTGACCCGTATAATGAAGGTCAACGTTCTAAATGCAAGTAGAGCCGCGCTTGCATGCTACCACTACCAGAAATTGCTAACAAGGGGTTTAGGGCGAACAATCTTGTCAAAGGTATTTCCGGGCTTCTCATAACGGGTAACAATCATGTTAAGTTGCATTTTCCTCGGTGTCTTGAATTAGCGCTGCATTAAACCGGCGCAGGGGTTTTATACACCATATTATTATGGGTGGGATGATGATCAGGAGATGGGCGTAAGGTGTATCGGCTTTTAAAGTTCCATGTATTGTAGAATTCATTGAGATGGGCACGAGTAGATGCGTAGGGGTAGTGGGAACAGGCGCTATAACTTCATCTAGGTATGCGAACCCTGTCAATAGAAGCAAATGCAATCATCATGATTGATATTGCTGGTTAGGAAGAAAGGCTGTTGATTCAAAATTCAGCTATGACACAGTCTACGGTACCTGCCACTTAGATATTATTTCATATACTTTTTGGAGGTTGAAGAGATCGTCTGCTTTACACACGGAAGGGTTCAAGGTACCTAGGTAGTGTTGCTGTAAATGATCAGCGAAAAGGGGTTATGGAGGGACGGGGGAATATATAATCCGGGTAATCTTCGGGTGTTCTACGAATTACTCCTCAATCAGCCCTGCGCCGAACTAATGTCTTTCTTATCGCAGCAACGTCATTCCACCAACTCATATCCGGGGCAGGTAACTCAACACAACAGACCACCTCAATTGATGACTCTGGCGCTTCTCTTATACTTATAGCTGGTTATGACAACCGGTTGACTGCGTCAAGATGCACCTCGTACCAAAAGAAGTGTGTACAGGCTCAACACCACCGTTAGAGACCCCCATCCATGCTCACCGAACCCGTAGATAGAGAAACTCCTCCTTATCTCTCAGCTTGGCCTTCTTGCGCAACGTCGCCTGGCTCGTGGGGTGAAATTAAACCATGCAGAAGCTATTGTATGTTATGCTCGATTGAAATTGCTTATCCAGGTTCCACCGCTGATATGAATATAATGGCAGGCTCTAATCTCGAACAATCTTCACGAAGTACCTCCCTATCCTCCACCCAACGACCGAGACCACCATATCTAACGACTGCAAGCTCATTCGAGATGGCAATCATTCAGTCGCGGATCTTATGTCCATAGGTTCCACAATGCTCGGCCGCCGCCATGTCCTCCCATCCGTTTGCACCACCGTTAAAGATTTGATGGTTGAAGGGACCTTTCCGACAGGCACCTTCCTCGTAACCGTGCAAGATCCCTTTAGTACCGATGATGGCGATCTAGCTAAAGCTCTATACGGCAGCTTTTTACCCATTCCCGACATAAGCTTATTCGAAATGCCAAAAGAAGAAGAATTTGCGCCGGCCAACCAACCTGGTGCAGTAATTACTGTCAAGGGCAAGGTCAAGGTGAATCAAGGAAGGAAGAGGATCAAATTGAAGGTCACAAATAAAGGAGATCGACCTATCCAGGTAGCAGGCCCAGTATCCAATTTTGGTATAGTGCTGATTGACATTTGGACAGGTTGGCTCGCATTATCACTTCATTGAGACAAATCCCCACCTCGAGTTCGACCGTATTAAGTCATATGGATACCGTCTCGATATCCCCGCTGGCACGTCTATCCGCTTTGAGCCTGGAGATATGAAGACTGTGACTCTAGTCGAGATCGCAGGAAACAAGATCATTCGTGGTGGCAGTCATCTGGCTGCTGGCAAGGTTGATCTTTCTCGTGCGGAGGAAATCCTTGCCAAGCTCCAAGAAGCGGGCTTCGCACACGCCCCAGATCCGGTCGGCGACGCTAAGTTTATTAATGGTTGTGAAATAGATAGAGCCGTTTATCAAACAATGTTTGGCCCTACCGTCGACGATCTCGTCAGATTAGGCTTTACGGATCTATGGGTCAAGGTCGAGAAGGATCTAACTGTTTATGGCGATGAATGCAAGTTCGGTGGTGGGAAAACCATAAGAGACGGCATGGGTCAAGCTACAGGTGTATCTGACGAGGTATCACTGGACCTTGCCATTACGAATTCTTTGATTGTGGATTGGAGCGGAATCTATAAAGCAGATATTGGTATCAAAAATGGAATTATTGTTGGCATTGGAAAGGCTGGAAATCCAGATGTGATGGAAGGGGTTAGTCCCAATATGATCATTGGGGCTTGCACCGATATAATTGCTGGAGAAGGGCTGATAATAACCGCGGGTGGCATTGATACTCACGTCCATTACATCTGCCCCCAGCAAGCAGATGAGGCTATCGCATCTGGCATAACTACTATGCTAGGAGGAGGAACTGGTCCTGGGTATGTTAGTCCCTCCAAGGCCGAATTTTCGGCTGACATGAAGCAGCGCTGGGACTACCGCAACAACTTGCACACCCGGGAAGAACAACACCCGTCTAATCCTTCAAGCCTGTGATACCCTGCCTGTCAATATTGGAGTTACAGGCAAGGGTAGCGATAGCGACCCTCTAGCTTTGCGAGAGCAAGTTATTGCCGGCGCATGTGGCCTTAAACTTCACGAGGATTGGGGATCTACTCCCTCAACAATCGATACGTGCCTTTCAGTTTGCGATGAGTTCGATGTTCAATGTCTCATCCATACTGACACTTTGAACGAATCTGGCTTTGTCGAGTCCACGGTCGCGGCATTTAAAGACCGCACAATTCATACATACCACACCGAAGGTGCTGGCGGTGGTCACGCACCAGATATCATTAGTGTTATCGAACATGCTAATGTTTTACCTGCATCTACCAACCCAACTAGGCCTTACACGAAAAATACTCTCGACGAGCATCTCGACATGCTGATGGTCTGCCACCACTTATCGAAGAATATTGCCGAAGACGTCGCTTTCGCCGAATCACGTATTCGTGCCGAAACAATCGCCGCCGAAGACGTTTTACACGACCTTGGAGCTATTAGCATGATGTCATCTGATTCTCAGGCCATGGGCCGATGTGGAGAGGTGATTGTCCGGACCTGGCACACGGCCCACAAGAACAAACTTCAACGTGGTCCTCTGAAAGAAGACGAGGGTACAGGGGCAGATAACTTCAGAGTCAAAAGATATATCAGCAAGTATACGGTCAACCCAGCTATTACACAGGGTATGGGCCATATTATCGGCAGCGTCGAGGTGGGAAAACTGGCAGATCTTGTAGTATGGGCTCCTGCTTGGTTTGGAACCAAGCCCACGATGATCCTCAAAGGCGGCATGATTGCATGGGCAAAGATAGTATTGCACCCAAACCCCCTATAATCTGAGTCTATTGAAAACACTAACACACATAGGGCGACCCCAATGCGTCAGTCTCCACCGTCCAGCCCATCGTCGCCCGGCCCATGTTCGCGCCACTCGTCCCTAAAACATCCATCCTCTTTGTTTCTGAAGCATCAATCACAAGCGGCAATATCGCCTCCTACTCCCTGAATAAGCGGGTTGAAGCTGTTAAGAACTGTCGCAAGATTAGTAAGAAGGACATGAAGTACAATGATGCGATGCCGAAGATGTCGGTCGACCCGGAGAGTTATAGGGTCGAGGCTGACGGTGTGCATGTTACTTGTGAACCGGCGGATTCCTTGCCGCTGACGCAAGCGGCGTATGTGTATTAGCGTGAAATATGTGAAGGAGTTTTAGATTTTCGATATGAGGTGTTTTTAGCCCGTTGATATCATATAATGCTATACCTGACTTCTGTAGATACTGTGTGATTTTGGTGAACGTTATACAGTTGTCCTCCCTGGTACGAATTAGCTGTTGTTATATATCAACAGTGAGGATAGCCTGAGTCACTTATCTGACTATACCGTAGTGATATAACACGTCTAAACATCTAACACCGAGTTATGCGCCATCCGAATAGAAGGGAGGAATTGTCTATTGAGAACGGAAAGTGGGCTAGCTGGTTGGGTTAAGAGACGGTGATAGTTGCTTTAGATCCCAGAGAATCTCAGTTCTTTCGTAAAATTGTGGAAGCTGGATCTCGCTGTGGGCGTCAAGGGCTGGTATTGGAATGCATGTGTGACAGGGAGACTTATATGATATATGTGAGTGTTTCCTTGATAAACGGGTATTAATGCTTGTAATGGGATAGAACGCGTAGTTCAACTTGGATCTCTTGAGACACTAGGGGTGATTGTGAGCAATTATGAGCAATTATTATAAATAAGTGATTGGCAACTATGCGAGCTGTCCATAAACTTGCTTCCGATCATGATCTGCTATAGCCGCAATGATAGCGGTGAGATATATAACCATCATGCATACATGCACCGCAAAGCACTGCCTGCAAACCGTAAAACCCTTTAGTCCGCCCATCGTTGCTGCTCTCTATCATAGCCAATGAGGTCCAAATCAACATTCAGTGTTCTAAGCATCATAGCCATTGTGAATTCCTGTCTCGATTAGCACGGCATCCCTGGCTTTTAAATTAAAACCACCTACATCTTCCTCTCCAGGTCGTTCCCCCGTATCCCCAAGGCCCTTCACCCGCTGGGACTTTTCATTCTCAGTCTCGGGATCAATATCATACTCGGCATAGAGGTCTCTTTTCTCGACATCCTTGTCTGCATTTTCATTTTCATTATCGGGATCATTATTCGTTTGCTCGCCTTGATCCCAATCGCCTTGAAACTCTTGCTGCTTCTTCTGCATCTCTTTCCAAGCCCTGGGGCCACCCATCCTACAAGCACCACCAAGTCAGCGAATCGCCAATCAATTACCATGCCCAAGTAGCGACAAACCTATTGACCCTATCCCTAACCTTCCCGAACAGCTCCTCTGCCGCCTGCCGACTAGCACTCGTCCACTTCTCAATCAATTCCACTAGCTCCCCGTCAATCTCTCCATCCGAGTCATTTTTCCGACTCGCGAGCTCGATGTTTCTTGCTTGTTCCGCTGTATCTAGCTCTTCCTTTACCTCACGTAGGTGTTTCTCTAGCTCCCGCTGTGCGCGGAGGAGAGGCGCAATGTCTGGGTCTGCGTTCAGCGCAGCTGTTGAGATGGGGGACGTGAGTGTCTTCTTGGTACGAGGGGTTCGAGTTGGCGTCGCTGATGGTACCGAGAGCTTTGGAGGCTTATTCGACAGGATGGGGTTCGGATTGTTAGAAAGAGGTGTGGAGTCACCCTGCGCTGGTGAGCTGATACGGTCCTGCGCCTTTACTGGCGATTTGAATGGTGTTTTGAAGGGCGAGCGGAAAGGCTTCGCGAGGGTTTGGGAGGCTTCAATGCGGCGGCGTTTGGCAGCGGGTGTAGACATCTTGATCTTCGAGGTGGGTTAGTGCTGTTGATGTCAGTGGTAGATCAATTGTTGTGAGCAACTTCATCTCATTGGTGTTGATGCTTTGAGATCCGACCATGGTTGACGTTCGTATGTAAAACTTGACTTTTTGTCGCTAATGATACGCAACGATATAGGGATCAGGAATGTACAGCTAAGGAAATGTTTACGTACATGTCGATGGAATAAAACAACTGGCAAAGGTTTCTAATCGATGCCTAACTAACAACGATTCCTGTTTAACTTGTATATAAAATGATATAGTTATTGCCATAAATGCAGAGACGAGCAGGACACCCGACATATGTTTGCTCTGAGTGTGGGGAGCAACAAGACAGCTACCCAAAGACAGCATTCCGCCATACATGTAAGTGCCAGGTTGGGCATACAACTCGTGATTAATTTTGTTCTATTTACAGGCTATTTTACAATCCGATTGGCCCTCAGTGTCCAACGCCACCTGCGACCCATTGTCCGAATGCCGGGTCTCCAGGCCGAGGGAAGAGTCCTCGATCTTCCTGTTGAGGGTGCTGCTCTTGGCCTTGGGCTCCAGGTTGGTCTCCTGCCTGTGCCCCGGCCGCACGTCTGTGTGCTAGTTGTTGCTGCTGGCGATAGTAGATAAGGAATACCAATGTAGCCGCTAATCCAATAATAATGAGACTCTCAACAATCCCGTCTTCAATGATATCGTCATAAAGTCCATCCGCATCTCCGCCGGGCATTGGATCGTTTTCAGGAAGGAGGTTATCGTCGTAGTCATCGCCGTAGTACGGATGATCATCCCGGAGGAAATTGCTGATCCATTCACCTACCGACCACTGCTTTTTAGGTGCTGTATGGTGTCAGTTCGTGAGCTCACGGCTTATGTATGATTCATCTTACCTGGTTCGTCTTGGATCGAGTTGATCCTCCCGTGGGTAAAAGTATTCCAAGCGCTCCGAAGCCGAAGCTTCAATAAACTCAGTTTCACGGGCAAATAGGCCTCATCGTTCGTCTCAAGGGCCTGATCATAAAATCGCTTCGCAAGATGGAAGTCTTGATCGAGCCCGACTCCATTCTCATGCATCCAACCCAAGTTGTACAGCGCCTGGGCGCTTTGATGAAATTCGGACGCGGCTTGATAGCAGGACGCGGCCTTTTGCATATCCGGCGATGTCCCAGTTCCATAGAGATAGTAATCTCCCATCTTGACCATGGAATCGATATTTGTCTGCTTAGCTGACCTCGTCCAATATATCAGGGCAAGGGCGGTATTTTGTAGAGAGGCTGGTCGCGGCATGGGGAGGCTCAACCAGGAAGGTAAAGCCCATCTAGACTTTTGCTCATCAAGAAGATATGCCACATTAGCTTGACCTTTTTCGTAGCCCTGTTCCGCGGCGTGTAAGTAGCCAACTAGGGCTAGTCCGAAATCCCCATCCTCGTATGCTTGATTGGCTTCAGCGAATGATGAGACAAGGGGTTCCGCCTTCTCAGCGATATTCTTGTAGTACGCCGTTGCGAGACCACAGCTTCGATCTCGACCAATTCCCTGGCCGATAAGTTCAGCCAGGTAGTATAAAGACTCAATATGGCCGTATCGTGCAGCAAGCTCAAAATAGCGGGTAGCAACTGCTATATCGCTGGATGTACCCTGATCCAAGTACAAGGCACCCAAGCTGACCATGGCAGGTGCATAGTCCTGGTCCGCGGAGGCTTTGAAAAACTCGGTGGCCCTGACCGTGTTCTTCTCTACCCCAAGCCCATTGAGATACATGAGCCCCAATCCATACTGGGATCCAGCGTCACCACTCTTTATACCGCGCTGAAACCAAACCTGCGCCTTTTCATAACTTTTCTCCACGCCTTCGCCACGTAAGAACATCCGCCCAAGATATCCAGCTGCTTTTGTTGCCATCTTCTCCAGCCCTGGCTTGTCAGTCTCAACCACGCGCCCATCCCTTTGCCAATATAACTTGGCAACCTTCATGAAGTACCACTTAGCACTTTTAAGATTCTGTGGGAGGCCCTTTTGCCCGTCATAGTGGATGCGTCCCAAACTAAATGTTGCTTTAAAATCTCCCTTTCTAGACATCAAATCCAGGTATTCAAGGACATCATCTAACGCAGCATGGGTATCGGAACTCAGGCCCGCTTTGTTGGCATTGCTTCCCGCACTAGAGAAGCTGGCCCCTTCCCCATAAACCCCCCCATCCTCATCCGCAAGGCGATAGGCATCAGGCACCCACGTCATTCCGCCTGGAGGCCCGGACCGAAACCATTCAATCGCCTTGGCCGCCACGTTTTTGTAATGCTTCATCGCGAGGTCGCAGTTCCGAGCCGTCCCAATGCCACTGTGATGTCGAAAGGCCACAGTCATTTCAGATCTAACGCTTCCCCCCCGGGCGGCAATTGTGTGGTACAGCAGGGCTCTGGCTTGGTTCTGTTCTACAGCGCCCCCAATTCCCGTAGCATACATAAATCCAACCATATGCTGCGCCGAGCTATTGCCATTCAATGTGGCTAGTTGCTGATACCACTTGAAGGCTTCGGAATAATCTTTGGGATACGTGAAGTTCCCGTAGAAGTTCATCTGGGCCAGGATATATATAGCATCTGAGTTATTAACTCGCGCTGCTTCCTCCAAAAGTTGCACTGCTCCGGAGACCGGCTTGGGGAGCTCCTTATTATGTTTTCCCGGAGGTCCATCAGAAGGCGGGCCTTGGGTATATAGCTTTGGTAGGATTGCCCAAAGATATTGGCTAGCTGTTCCCAATAACCCTGAGGGCTTTCGTACAGGTCGTGGATTTGAGTGTTCGAAATGGTGGAGATATACGAGCGCCGTTTCGACTTGCTCAGTACCTATGGTATAGTAAGTATGAATTTAAATGCTGGCGTGGAGCGTTCTACCCTCTATTCTGCTCTGGCTATCCGCCCCTTCCAGGGGCTTTTGAGAGGGGGGGGAACTTCCATCTCCGCTAGGTATCGGTGTAGATTTCGACCCATCTTGTATTCGCGCATCGGCTATGGGGAGGAATATTTGGAGGAGCACTGTTCAAGAGACCAAATTAGCTCGGGCACCAGGAATGCAACATCACTGATATACGTACAAATTGCAAACGGCAGAAGCCGTCTCCAGTTCATCATTTTGAGGGACAGTTGGTTTTACTTCGTGCTAGAAGCACAAGGTAGAAGCTCGGTCATCGTCTCATTTCACTTGGTCATAAATATTCATCTTCGGACTGGCGTGGTGGTGGTGGTGGGAAATTGTGTTGTGGGAAAGTTGACATTATGTTCGTTCCATTTGTCGTTCTATCAAGCTGTCATCTTCGCATGCGGCGGAACAATGCGACACTGCCGAGCTCCATCATCCGGGCCAGGTGGAACACTCACCCCACAATGCAACACATCTACAAAGCACAGCAAATAGTTTCACATTCAGGGTGTGCAAACTGGATTTGATGGAACAATATAAATCCATACTGCTTAACCAATTGACAGCTTACTATATCCATGCGGCGATTTTGTTTTTCGCAAATGGAATGGCCCCAGCTATTTACTTACTCGCCCCTCCAAGCCTTCACTTGCCCATCCTCTCCAGCCGTTAGGACTGCCTTGTGCTATGAACGATATTAGCAACTAGACAATCAATCCCTAAGAGCATGCATCCATACCTCATCTAGGAAACAGAAGGCGCGGACAATTTCCGATCCATGAGCCCCGATCAATGTGGCTTTAGACTCGGGCATAAACGTCCATGGGGGTCCGTTCTTGAAGTGGATTAAATCGAAGCTTTCTTGACTATAGAGATTAAATAAGTAGTTGCTTCATGAATAGAGCCCCCATATTGGTTGCTTACCTATGAGTGCCAATCCCCAGTACTGCACTTCCATCAGGCCGTCTCAGGACATTGGCGGCATACTCTCCACCGAATAACTCTCTCACATCCCCGAAGTGAGTAGGAGGTGGTTCTTCAACGCCTTCTTCTGGATTCGTTACCAACTCATACATAGAGAATTTTTCATCGTGCGACAATGCAAAGATATCCACATCACTAAGGAAGTTGGCGTGGTGAATCGATGCACCGTGATTGATGGTCTGATGTAACGCTTCTTCTTCATCTGAGATTGTAGTGTTGTAAATGTTAACAAGACCATCCGTTGACCCTGATAATAGAATTTGTGGTCGGCTAGGGTGAAATTGTAGCTGGGAAAGTCATCAGCAAGGCACTTCAGAAATTTGCTATCAATTTTGGAACAAACTTCTGTAACGTCATCACTGTGGCTCTCAATATATTGAACAACTGGCTGGGCAAGACTCCTCGTATCCCTGACAATGTTAATTTGGCAATTATGCAAGAGAAACCGAATCTACTCACCATAAAAGAACTGATGCTTGATGGTTTGTGAGTTCAGATCCAGCTGCCAAAGAGTGAGGGTAAGAGCAGGCCAGTGATAGAATAGGAGCATTCTGTTCTACCAAATGTTAGAGTAGTTTTAGCTATATGGCCATGTCCATGGGTGTGTGTCTATGCAGCCGGCCCATAGCGACGCAAAATGAGAGGGCTACAACATAAAAAGATTATGATAAATAAGCTTACAATCACTTGCACAGTGGTCTGAAAAGCGATATCATACTTTCCGAGTAATAGAGGAGCACACTCACCCATCGTCACCTCCGCAACCTTCGAGCCACTCCTCGGATCAATTAAACAAGCTCTGCCATCTCTCCCGGCTGTACAGACAACAACAGAATTCCCGTCGGCGCCAGTATCGAAACCTTTTAAACATGTGACATCTGTATTAACGCGGCTGACAGATGTCAACGGTGGGCGATCCAAAGCGAGAGGGTCGAGCAGCCGGAGACTATCATCTGAGGAAATTGTCGCAAGCCCTGCTGCAGTCGGAACAATATCATATATGTAAGTATCCGCAGGCTCGGTGACCCGAAATGCACCGATGGTATCGAGTGGGTACATTTTGAAGGTTCAAAATTGAATTTGTTTGTCGCCAGACAATCTATGGTCGCCAAGAAATAGTTTTCCTGAAGCAAAATTATTAGTGAAGTCAATCGCTTCGGCTGTTGTTCCGTTGAAATCTCTCTGATTTTACAACGCGGATAGCATGACGTGAAATAATTGCTTATGTCTGATGATATATGATATGGGCTAGTAAGGATACAGCTACGAATCTATCTAATTAGTCTGATTCTTTTCTTTTTGTGGCTCTCAGTTTGTCTTCAGATGGAGGAAGCGCAAGTTGATTCTAAACCAAATGGGTAATATATCGAGAAGTGCACGTCGGAGAAGTCCTAAGATGGACTTTACATTGATTTTTCTTATATAGTTGTTAGATTGGCGCGGTCTGGGATTATCTGGTTGCCATACGTTCGACTTTTTCTTTGTTTCCAATACACTGAGTACTCGTACTTACCCGGATACTTAATATTTCCGTATAAAAGAGACGCACATAAACACCAATGTACTGCTTTAGCTATATTTGTCGTGTTTATTCTTGACCTTGATCAGTAACAGTTGCTCATGGTAATCTCCCTCCCGCCTCGCCTTCTTTAGTCGTCTGACCTCGTCATCCTCCAATCTTCGTCCCACAGCTTCTTCAAGTTCTTTCCGGCTAATCTTCTCTCGTGCCTTTTCCTCTTTCGAAGCCTTTAATTTTGGCTTGAATCTTGCTTGCATTCGTATCCGCAGCGTCGTGTTGAATGTAATCGCCTCTCCATCGCCACGTGTTTCCGGAAGCGCGGTCGACTTGGACGACGTAGGTGGTTTGATGGTCAAGAATGTATCCCGAAAGGTCTGTATCTGGAACGTACCAGGTGTATCGGCGGTCGGTATGCAATTGAAGGATTCGAGTGGCGAGACAGCTTCAGTGGTGGCGGACAGGATGCCGTATTTGTCGCAACTCAGATACCTTCAATAGGCAGAGGTTAGCTACTTGAATGTACATCGAGACTCGGAGTCAACCTACTTGCCATGATGTCCTTTGAACGTGTAAGTCTCGGTGCCAAATACTTTATTGGCAACCCAAACCTGCCTCACATCGTGGGGTTCCGCCGTTGAGGGATCATTCTCGATCATATTCTCGAGCGCACTGGCAAAAACCTTCCCTGTCGAATCGCAAGCCATACATGACGGCGTATCAGATGGTAGAACGAATATGATCGGCCCTATAACATCTCCTGACGCTTCGGCGGTGACCCAGCTATCATCGTCAACAGGAGCGTCTGCACCTGGAGGCTTTGAAGCTGCGACTTCTTTCCCTGTTGATGTTGATCCTTCGCCGTCGCCATCGCCAAACTTATCTTCCACATCTAGGCGCTTCCGCTTTTTGGTTTTCTTGTCGCCCTTAAACGTTAGTGGTTTGACCATCGTGGAGGAGTAAAGTTGTGAGAGCTCGATTCCTGTTCTGGAAGCTCGAGGTGCAAGGCGCTGGAGACCTTGTCTCAAAGAGGCAGCTCCGAAATGAAAACCGAGCGGGGAACTCCCCGCGAAGCTCTCTTCCTGGTGTTGGAGGGTTTCAACGCTCCACTCTAGGACCAATTTATATATGAGCGTTTGGATGGTCAATTCAAAAGTAGGAGCATTAGTATAACGTCTTATTTAAGCCCTTTAAAACTCGCCAAGTATGCCTGCAAAGCCGGTTACTGTTAGTCTTGAGGACTTGAAGAATGGTAGGCGTTACAATATTGATTTGGAACTAAGCGTGTACTTATCGACTTTAATAGGCAACGTCTCATTTTCCACACTACAGGACGCATTTGGACCCGAATCATTGGGTATTATCATCGTCAATGGCGTTTCACCGGAATTTGTCCAGTTAAGACATCGACTACTCTCCTACGCTTCATACGTTGGAAATCTTCCCCAGTTCAAGTTAGGTCAGTAAGCTCAACGCTACATTTGATTTTACGGCGGAGTTAAAAAATTAAAACAGACAAGATCGAAAACCCAGCTTCAAAATATCTCACGGGCTGGTCTCGTGGCAAAGAAACGCTCAAGAACGGCCAAATTGATACCCATAAGGGATCATACTACGCCAACTGCGCCTTCTACGTTGACCCGTCCCTCTCTTGCGCCAAACCCACTCCGGAATTCTCATCAGAGAATTTCCCAGAGTATCTAAGCCCTAACATTTGGCCTGGAGGTAGGACCATTCCCGGTTTCAGGGAGACTTTTGAGGAACTTTGCAGTCTAATCGTATGTCGCCCCTTCCATATCGCCATCGATTGTCTCAATTATTTAACAAATCACACAGATTGATACTGCTGTCCTCGTTGCTAAAGTATGTGACACTTATGCAGAGAAGGAAATCCCGGGATATAAGCCCGGATATCTCGAGCATGTCGTCAAGACTTCAACAACTACCAAAGCCCGATTGCTCCATTATTTCCCCGCGGAACCTCGGGATACCGGTTCCACGGAAGAAGAAAATGATGATGATTGGTGTGCAACGCATCTTGACCATGGATGCTTAACGGGCCTAACATCAGCAATGTTCATTAATGAGACGCGGCAAATTCCTGCAATACCGGTATGTATTCGTTGTTCTCGCAAATATATAACAGTGACCCATATGCTTCTATTCTTGCTCGAAACTCGAGGATATCAATAATGTCCCCTAATCACCTCACACGAGTTCCCTTTCTTCTCTCTTTTGCTTTCAGATTACCTTGGACAACAGGTTAACGTATAATTCATAGATGAGCTATTCCTACAACCCCAGCTACCTTCCTACGCTCGCCGAGCTTGACGCATCGCCAGACCCAAAGGCTGGTCTTTACATCCAATCCCGCAGCGGGGAGACAGTCCAAGTCAAAATTCCGCGCGACTGCATTGCCTTCCAAACTGGTGAGGCACTTCAGCGAATTACGAGAGGACTATTCAGAGCCGTGCCCCATTTTGTCAGAGGTGTCAGGCCTAGTATCGCAGGTGCGGAGAATGAGGGTGGCAAGATTGCGAGGAATACACTGGCAGTTTTCACACAGCCGAATTTGGAGGACGTCGTTGATGTAGAGAAGAATATCACATTTGGGGAGTTTGCGAGAGGGATTGTTGAGAAGAATACAGCCACGTAACGTGGATGTAATATGTCACGGGCTTAGATCAAGCGTTTTTGGAATATTAAATGGGCAAGAACAGCGCAGTTACGGTAGATAGGTACTTGTTAGATTGAGGTGTCCTAGGAATATTTAAGCTACTATCCCATAGCTAGCTATTTCCTTTCCGCCAGATATTTTCATACAAATATAGCCGGAAACTATTACATCTCCCTGGATTCCATTATTTGAGTGTTACGCTGCCTACGGGCGTGCTTGCGCAGTCGGCTACTTATTCTCATTGGTATTGTCCATGATATTTAGTAGAATCTTAAGAGTGACTTTCAGGTCTCCCAAAATGGTATTCTTTCTTCAAGCCTACTAGAATTGTTACGCCCAGCTCGTTTTCGTCGTGATCCTTAGCAAAAGCCTCAGCGAGATGGGCCATTTCGGGCATTTCGTTTCCTTCGCTACCCATAGAGACGTCTTAAGCGATAGTAAGAAGAGGTATAATGAAAAGTTCCTTCATGTACAAGAAGCTAAACCCCTCAGTCAACTTTGCCACAATAGGACTAATCCTAGTGTTAGAATATGGGAGTTATGGGAGTTCCCCTGGCCGGCTGGTCAAGCCACTTAGGCACCCCACTTGGCACTTCTCCACCACAAAGGAGAAATGAGATATGTGTACTCGCGATGAGCCGAATACACGGATATCATCGCATCCCATACTAATTAGTATGGCACATGATGATGGAGGCCCTGGGAAGCCATTCGGATACCATCGGTATTATTTCCTTGAGTCACCTGATTGATCACCTGACCCCATACATTCATTTGMCTATATATGTGAGGCTTTCACCCTATAGTATTAGGCTTCTTAATCAATTCAATTACCCCATTCCATGACCCATTCTGACCAATCAATTACCTGTATTAAGTGTACCAATTTGGGTCCCATTAATCAACACCTAGGCAAACAATGTCGCCATAGGATAATTTGCTCATTCAATATTCGCAACACTCGGCCCTTTCTGCATCGTCCGGTGGCTTGAAATGGTACTCTTGCATCGAAAGGGTTGGATTCGAGGTCGTCTACTTCGTTTAGGAAATAGCTGTGTATGTCGTCCGCGATAAGGCTGTCCAAACCAGCCAAGATTAGTAGATAGGTGCCATGGAACGGACATGGCTGAAGATCCTTCAGATAGAGCAGTAGTGGGCGCAATTGCTGTTGGGTCTTCACGTAGAGCGAAGGGACAGGGCCTCTGCGGCCTACTGGTGCAGCGATGAGCGCCTTGATCGAGATAAGTCTTGCCGTTTCCCGGCACACTGTGGAAGATCAGACCACGTTTCCAACGCACAGGTAATGTGTTGTACACCTCCCTATTATCGAAGAAATTAATCATACCGTGATACGCCGACCAGGCTCGATTTCATCGCCAGGTTGAGGATGACTTCGTCCTATGAGCTACCTTGAACACTCTTCCACAAGTCACCGCTCTTTAGCTAGTGACCGCTGTCGAAGGCGTATATTCCATCATGAGGAGCACTGCTGCACGTTCCCACTGCAAGCAGAAGTTAGCCCGTGAGGGAGGTTTCTTCTTTCGAATCATTTTGAAGAAATGATGTGAGGATATAAACTAGCTAAGCTTTGAAGCGGTTTGGTTCAATGGGTTCTGCTTCGTACAGACCATACTCATGACCGTTCCAATCGTAGTTCCAACGGCTGAATTGTGGAATCGCTGTTTTAGGGTATCAAGTTTTAGAGAAGGAAGATCACACGAAGGCAAGAAGGCAAATACCAGACAGCAGCTACCCGTGAGGCGACGCAGCAAGCATTGGCTAGAGTATAGATAGACTATCACGATGGGTAGCTCTGTGAACATCGTAAGTGTGGTCCTGAGCCCGAGCCCACGAGGAGCGATGGATCGCTAAAGAAGGCGGGGGTTATTGCTATTAGCACACTTGAACTACTTGGCCGACCACAGGCTTACAGACACGGGCTTGCGGCTACCTATTGTAATACGGTTAGACGATGCTGTGAATAGCGCAGTCAGCGGGCATTCAGTGTGGTCGTCGAAGAGAAGCATGCGGATGCTTCGATTCTGGTTGTCATATGTCCTAGCTTGGGGGGAGGGGGGGTTTACTCGAGTAACTGATATGGCAGAATAGGTATCGAGTTGTGCCATTTTACCATTATGGCGTTCTTTGCTGTGATCAAGTTCTGGTATCCCACAATGATCGTGGACCACATAGGCAGAGATTCACATGAACTACGGTATGAGTATCAATTAGACAGGAGAATGGATGTTGGTGGAGGGTAGGACGTGAGATACTTGGCTGCTGAGTCATGAATTCTATTATGTTAGTGGCTAGTGAGACTCAACGACATGCCATCTCCTATTTCTAATCTGGCTTCTGTTAAGTGACCGTTGACATAGTGCGACACTTTTGAGTGGTATATGTGATCTGGAGACGCTTCAAAGTAGCAGAGTATTTCCAGAAAATTCATAACAACTGTTCATTTATCACATTTCCCGTCTCCAACTCCTATCTTGCCTAAGCGTTCAAGTCATCGATATCAAACCTTAGAAGTTGGAGCCCTAGGTGCATTTACTAGAACTGTTCTGTCGGGACCTAGTAGGCGACTAGTTGCTATTTTGGTTTTTCGACAAGTATATCCGACAATATGAATTATTTCAAACTTTGTTAATAATGGCACCCCGTCCATAACGGGTAGTAGCTTCTGGTACGAAAATCCGAGCCTAAGTTAGTAGATAAATGCACTGCTAAGAGATGCTTTGAATGCTTTGAATGCGAGACATGTTATCCACATTGACAGGAACTGCCAAAGTCTAGAGAGCATAGCACCACGCACACATCTATGCACATCCTTCTTTAGAATCCTACAATATGCATTTGATATTAAGTTTATAATTACAGATTGTGCTTTGTTAGAATAGTTCTGCAATTCATACAGCTGGTTATAAGTGGCTATTAGTCCTCTCACCCCCTCTTAAAGCTCACGAAAGGCCATCACTTGCTTGTTTCGGCTCTATTTTAGGTTCTATAGTAACTGCTTTATATTTTCCTATATCATCCTACATGGACATGTAATAGGCATAGTTTCTTGATGCTGAACAATAGCCATCCCTGTCCAGCAGCGCTTGACAGCTGCATGGCACATTGAACATGCATGCACGGTGGTGTGATCTATAATATAGTGATTTCCATAACTATAACATTTCACACCGCCTCTAAGGTTACTACTGCTATGGAAGAAGGAAATTCCGCCTCGTCTACGCGAATCCTCCGAACTGGGTGAGTTGAAGACAGAATCGTGAACTCCTCGCTTGTTCCTCAGACTTCCCTTCGTCGTCTTTGCTCAACCTCAGTCTTAACGACAGATCACTACCTCGTTCATGGCCGACAGGTCGAGGCCACGATATCAACAGTGTCGCCGACTAAGCAAGAGATACTTGCAACATGGCTCATATCGCGAGTGAGATGGCCCTTCCTCCCAATATCACCTTTCCCCATAGCGACACACGTCTTAACCAGCACATTATCAAAAGCCGCCCAGTCCCACTCAACCGTGTTGCTCTCACCAATAGCACACAATTGAAGATCCCTCAAAGCTATCAGGAAGCTCTCGAGTGGCTGTGCCCACCTTCCACACGCGTAGAGCTGTCCCTCGGTCACGACTACGAAGACATGGATAGTACTACCCCCAGCAGCTCAAAGCCACGGTCGGAGGATCCTTCTAAATACCCTCCCCAAGCACCATCTGCCCTCATTGCCTGTGCTCTTGATGAACAGATCGGTACCTGGCGTGCAGCATCTCCAATGGATCGCGGCAATAGTGGCGAGGGGACTGCATCGGCAGCAACTATGGTACGTTTTTATCCTTATTCTGCTGTTGAGCATGCCAAAGGTCCTTTTGGACAAGGTATAAACGGCGGTTACCTCACCTTTTGACACCAAAAACATTTAGTATTTTTTAAAGCTGATTAGACTGCAGACTACTTGCGCAGCACCAGGGCTTGACAAGGAGTTGCCTCCCACCCCGGTATTTACCCCGATTGACTCTCTTGAGGAGCATGATTTTGATGGTGGTAAGCCATGCTACGGAAATGCAATCACTAAACCGATATCTGACAAGTACCCAGATTCGACTGAGCCAGACTCGGAAACAGAAAAAGTTACTTTCGCGGCCCTCACTCCGAAGTCTTCGCTGGTCTCTCTTAACGATAGCATCCTCACTAACGAGACCCCGACCGTTCACGTGGCCAAGGCCATTAACTTCAAAACTATCAAGGGCTCAAAAGGCGTGAAGGATATGTTGCAGCTGGTTCCTGGTAAACCTGGCTCTATGAATGGCTTGTCCGAGGCCCCAGTCGCTGAACGCGTCGTCATGGTCACCGTTGAAAAGAACGGTAGTCCGTTGCCTCGAAGACCTATTCGTAAGCCTAGCCGACACGATCTTCGGGGGTTCAACGCTCTGAGCCAAAAGGGAAAGTCTCGAGTTGCTGACACCGAGATAGCTCGACAGGCTGTCGCAAGTAGTGGTGTCCTTCAGGAACCCGCTCAGTTGCCCCAAATGGACGACCCAGCCCGAGTCGCGAGCACCAGCCCTTTGCAACAAGATGATGGCATTCGCCGGTCCAGCAAGTATGACTGCGGCCCTACGGTCAGATACTCAGTTGATGCCCGTGAGGTGATCATGGGAGGACATGATAGGTATGATATCTTTCTTAGGTGCTGAATATCTGCTGACTCGAGGAGGAGTGTATCTGCTGCATCGGTCTATAAGGGAGCTATTAGAGATTCGACTAGGTAAGATAGAGTATAGCCTTATATGTGGTTTAGATGCATACTAACCTGAATACTTTAGTTCTATCAAGTCTGCCAAGCCGAGTATGAAGACTGGAAAGAGCGAGAATGAGAAGGGTGCGCCTAAGCAGGCATTCAGAAACATTGTGGTCCAGCTCAAGACTCCAAGCGCTCCCACTGGTGGCATGCGAGGTGGCCGTTCCGTTTCCGACTTTGGCGCTTCTGGCCCCAATATCAAACCCCAAGACGCAAAGAAAGGAGGACAGCCGGCTACTATGTCCCGCTTTTCCCGCCCAACTGCTGCCAGTGCCGCTCGTGAGGCAGTCTCCAAGTCGACGGTTAAGCTGGCTAAGCACTCTTCCCCAAAGGATGGCGCAGACCAATCGACCAAACATCCAACTTCTACTTCACGCTCTGAATCGAAGGTACCCCGCCCTACTTGTGCCTCTCTGCCTAATGACAACTCTGTTACGACTGTCGAGCAACCAAGCAGAGGATTTAAGAGTCGAATTTCGTCCTTGCTGCCTAGCCGTCGTCGTAGTGAGCCGCCGGCCACGAACAGGCCGAACAGTTATAGTCCAATCCTTAACCGCCATAGCTCGCTTGCTCAGAGCGTGGGCGCCTCATCTGCTCAAGCCTCCGTTCATCGCCAGCCAAACATTGTATCCAACCAATTCGTTCCTGAACCGACAGATAGGTTGGATCGTGCAAGAGACCGAGCTGCGCGTCCAACCACGTATGCTCTGGTCAACCGTGTCCCTCTGCTCACCAACGCTACTCGATCGAACACTAGTGCCACTTTGCGCCGCAATCAGGTCCGTGGCGGCGATGAAGAGCCTCCAACCCCACCACGCTCCCGTAGCGGCCCTGGTGCGCATTACGAGGGAATCGGACCGGGTGCTGCAGCTGGCGACATGGGCGATGCAGTTGATGCTCCCCTCCGGGATGCAGAGACCCATCTGGACCTGGTCATCCATCGCACTCGTCAAGTTACAGACCGGGCTTTCCGAGACCAGTCTATCCGACTCATCGAGGAGCTTGGAAGTGCTATTCAGGTTACTCGACAACTGCACATGGCAGCCATTGCTCAGGCTAGAACTAACGCTGGAATTGCTGCCACTATCTCCCGTCTGACTGTGGATGTTGCTACTGTGGTTGCTATTGCCAACTAGCTGCCGTGGTTGAATCATTGAAAAGGCGAAACTAAGGAGTTAGAATGGCTAATTGAACGTACGGTTTCTATGACTAGATAAGGCTGGTGTTTGCTTGATTAGAAACCAAAATAAGTGATGGAAGTTATACATAGCTCTTTATTTGCCTGTGTGTTGGGAGATGATGTAGACTATGCTGTCTCTCCACCTTCTCAAAGTTGTGAACCCAAGGTGAAATCCCCTTCCAGTCGAATAATTTGGAGAGGAAACCAACAGTAGACTTCGCAATCACACATCAATGTGCTGAAATATTTTACTCCATCGTTTGGAATTATCCTAGCCAAAACTCTTAAATCGCTTAGCAGAGCACTTAACTATGGTAACTCATTCTAGCGTATACGAGGTGGGATTAGAGGATGAAAATTATTGGTTTCGGAAAACCACCGATTGAAGACATGCCTACCACTATACTAGTAAATTGGATGTTGAAATATGTCTTGATCGGGGCATGAGTGAGGGGTTGTTGACGTTTGGGCTTTACCCCAGCACCTAGGGTAGTGGGGTCTCAGGGGCTAGAAGGGGGTGGTGAAGCGGTTTTGCGTCCAAGCGCCGAGGTGTATATATATTCCTGTACAGTACATTTGCTCATCTACCTTAATCAACACATCAACACAACACAACAAACCAAAAACCAAAAGATGTGGATTTGAAAGTCTATATGCTGCGAGTATGAACGAAAGAAGGGTATAAACTGGCGACAATGCTTCCGATTCCATGCCACCAAAATGCCATGTTCTATTCACAACAACCCAGCCAAACCAAAAGCGGATGAAAACCATTAGGCTAGTCTCTCGTCATTCATATTCATAGCACACGTTGTCTAAGAAAGACGCCAGCGCCAATCCATAAGCATTACCCCCCGGAGAATCATCCTCCCTTTTCATCATGGCCGGTATCGAGGAGGTGGCGACCTACTCCGGGAGCGTTCGCCAGGTTGGGGCGCATTCTCGGGCACCGCAAATCTAACGCGCGAGCTCGAACCCTCGTTGCGGCGTGCTGGCGACCTGCCTCTCGATGACCCTGCGGCCTGGTACTGGGCCTGGGAGCGATTAGACCCACGACCAATATTTTCCGGCTTCTGCGACTGCTCCCAGTGTGCTGGCCAGCCTGTCGGTGGATATGACGGATCCTGCTGCGAGGATGAGGAGCCCGCATCAGACCAGCCGTATTTTACATCTTGCGGATGCGTCGGGGGGCGGGCGACTGGCTGTTGCATAGGCTGTGATGCTGGATATGGGGGAGTATGTTGTGGTACCGGCTGGGGAGGCAGATGTTGCGGTATCGGGTGGGGAGACATATGTTGCGGTGCCGAATGAGAGGGCTTGAGGTGTGGCGCCGGACGAGGAGAGATCGGTTGTAAGGAGGCGGAATGTGTATTATATCTAGGCGGCACTGGCGACGTCGAGGCTGGTCTATGGTCGTCACGGCTATGCTTCCTATCGTGCGAGTCTCTCCTCTCGCTGTTGGAGCGGTGGCGTCGGCGCGAATGGTGGCTCTCAGGTGGGAAAAGGCGATATTGTTCCTCCTCGAGGGCAGCCCGTTCATCTTCCAGACGCCGTCTTTCTCGTTTGGTCTTCTGGTGTTTGTTGATCAGATAGCCGGCGGCTACCAGCTCTAACCCTCCCAGCAGAACCATTTTGCCTTGGGGGTCCGTAGGGGTTTAATCAGGGTATCGTTATCGATAAGAGGCAAAGGGGCGGGGGGGGGGGGCGATCGCAAAGCGCTGCTCGAGTACCAGTTGGTGTGTTCGCAGACGTGGAGTGATGAGCCTGTCTCTTATACACATCTAGATGTGTATAAGAGACAGGTTCGCAGACGTGGAGTGATGAGCCTCATCAAGGTCTAGGTAGTACTTACGTACAGCCGTAGGATAGGGATGAGAAGATGAGATGAGATGAGATGCGATGAGATGAGGGAGTGGGAATGGGAAGTGGGAAGTGGGAAGTAGAAGAATTGTGTTTTGCTCGTAGCCTGGGGCTGAAGGGGGCGATGCACTGGATGCGCTGGATGTATTCCGGTGGATGACATAGGGCAGAGGACATAGGACATAGGACATAGGATATAGGGCTGCTGCTGCACGCCCGGAGTCGATGACATGTGCCCTGGAGCCGGACCCCGAGACACTGCCAGACATACTGCCGCCTGGCGTCTGGCCCAACCAGATGACGAGATCAGCCAGTATTCTTCTCTTGGCTTGTTCGACCCGCATGACAACCAAACCTAACGCAGTACGAGTACCTTATTAACTAAGTCTTACCTGCGCTGCTCTGCTCTGCTCCGGCTCTCCGGCACTCGACTGTTATTATTACAAAGAACCATACAGAAACCATGCATAAGGTACCTCAAGTTACTATACGGAGTACCCCGTATCCCCACCCCGTTCAAGGCTTCAAGCTGATACAGGTGTGACTCTTGCCAACTTCGGAGAATCGCACGTGAGAGCCACCCACAGAGTAAATATCGTCCACGTATATATATATATATATATCTACTAGAATTTCGACTTATTCAATTTTTATTTTCGAGGGGTATCTCGTTTTGTGTTTCGATGTTCTCTTTCAAGAAACACCGCTCGCAGACAGATTGGCCGCTTCCCAAGTTCAGTCCTGCATTACCAATCCCGCTTCCCATTTCAACTTTTCATTTCAACCAGCTCGTGCTTCATATATACAGGCTTCCCACATTGGTCTTGATGAATTCATACGAGTCTGACCTGAAGTCATCATTTATTAGGTTTGCCCCCGTGGCATAAAAGTTCATCAATTGCCTCTTCTCGCTCCACTGCGGCCATTCCATAAATTCCGAGCCGTTGTTGGGATCCATGGTGTGTACGAAATTGAAGTAGTAGTCGCGGATGGCTTGGAAATTTATCAGCCCATATCTCAGAATTTGCAGGATTGGACTCACCTCGAGATGCATAGTTGGGGAGAACACCATAGAATACCTGGAGGATATCGCCGCCGTGGAAGGATCCTAGGATGGGGGTTCCATAGTCGTACGACGACAGGTATGACCAACTGGGGACTTCCGTCGATGCCATGTCCAAGAATATACGTCGGGTTAGGGTGAAGACTAGGTCGCCCAAGATGGCCGCAAGACGCTTGAACTGGGGATACCAGTTGTTGAAGAGCAGCGTTCGGAATGGCGAACCGTCTGTAGCAATATTTTGGTAAGTGTCGACAAGGGCGGTAAGCTGTGCGGTGGTGGCACTATGGAAGAACAAGTCGGAGAGGTACTCAACCACTTGCGGTTTTGTGGTGATGTTCGGCTGGAAGAGAGCAAAGAGAGTCTGTAGCTAGCGTTAGTGCGCTCTTTCCACGGTGTTTTGGGATGCAGAACATACACCTTCATCCTCTTGGTCCCCGACAATGAACGGCACCTTGGCCCATTTACCCTGGCTGACCAAAACATCTGGAGAGGCAGTGAGTACTGACCCATCCGGCCGAGGAAGATAAGACAAGGCCACAGAGTTATAGCTCAAGATGCCAGGAACGGAGTTGACAGCGTTCAAGAGAGAGATGTATGGCAATGCTCGAAGGCACTCCAAAGTTGAGGTGGCCGAAGAGCAACCAGCCTTTGCTACAACTGAGTCGTAGACTGCCTGTCCCTTGGGGCAATCCACCGGATCGGCTGGGACAACGCTACCGGAGCTCATGATAGCCCCGCGGAAGAGCGGCTTTCCATTATACTTATTATCTCCGTCATATAGAACTATCTGGTCGAGGACAGAAATCGATCCTGCAGATTCGCCCCACATGGTAACCTTTTCTGGATCTATGGTTTTCCCCATTAGCATCCTCCTTGAGACACTCAGGGGTTATTCTTACCTCCACCGAAAGCTGCAATATTATCTGCCACCCATTTGAGGCCGAGTCTCTGATCCTGGAGTCCAAGATTGGCAGATCCATCGGCTAAGATTTCTTTTCCTGGCAAGAAGCCAAATCCTCCGACTCGGTAGTTCACCGCCACAAATATGATCGGCTTTCCCGCCGCGACAGACGCGGCAACGAGCGAATGCCCATCATACATCTGAGTCGATCCAAGGCCAAAGCCGCCGCCAAAGATCCAGAACAACACTGGTACTTTTGACGAAGCCGTTAGTCCAGCAGGCCGGATGATATTGAGGGTTAGACAGTCTTCTCCGGCGTTACTGGCTGCTTGGAACAGTGGCGTATTCATAATCGTGCCAAGAACACCGGCGGGGAAGTCGTTTGGGTTGTTGGAAAAGTACAATTGCGGACAAGCCTTTGGAATACCGACAGCTTTCACTGTCCCAAGGGGGGCGTTGAGTGGCTGAGGGGGCTTCAAACGCAGAGCACCCGTTGGGGGCTGCGCGAATGGGATGCCATTGAAACTGTCAATGGAGGATATAGATGATCCAATGATTGTTGCTGCCGGTGAAGCAATTGCTACTGTGGGTGCGGCCGCCCGCTTGTCAGGTGTTGGTATAGCGAAGATGACTGGGAGGATACTGAGGAAGGCAATGATGGATTTCATCTTGAAGACCGGGGACACCCAAAGCAATAGGATAAATATGGGACGAGGAGCCTGGAAACACCTACCGAGTAAATTCTCACCACCCCATGAGAATTAGAGGGCTATATATGTTTTTTTTAAAGTACCCTTTGGCCAAAAGGCACACTTTCTAAGCACAAGGAAGCAATATTTTTCTTTTAGCTACCTCGGTCAAAAAACATTAAAGATCGCCCAGCTGACCATAACCACATCTCTACTGTGCCAACGGCGTCGGATGCGCATAGGTAGCCGTCCAGACTTTTCTCAATAAGTCGTGTCCCCAACACAAAGCCGGGCGCCATGAGTGGTCACCTATGGAACTTGACTTGCTTCCATATCAGGCTTTCTGGTAATAGTAAAGTCACGCCCCCACTATGGGGTTGCGCAACGACCAGGTACTACCTTGAGATTCGCGGACCAAACGTGCGCAAGAAGCTTAGACGGTTTCTAGAAGTGGAAAACCTCACTCTGCCATTACAACAGGGCAGTTGTGAGCAGGGGGAAGTGGTCGTGTAAGCAATATGTTCTTGACCGGGTGGCAGCCAAGGCTTGTTTTTTGTGCGGAGGTCGTACAAAATAGGCACTTTCTCCTTCCCAGTGCCCACTGCCCATGACGATCTTGCGGAGTGGGCTCTTTTTGATTTATTCATCCTGGCCGACTTCCATGGAGGTAGATCTCCCCGCCATCACCCCACGATGCGCTGCGATAACGAGTTTGCGGGGTGCATGCATAACTCGCAGACTGCTCTATTGCAAGTTTATTGTTGTGCCGTGTTAAGCTCTGTAGTTGAGCTATACATCGTGAAGGCTCTTGGAAAAACCATTCCGTAGTACAAGTACAGTATTCTCCGCCGATCTTAAAAGGTACGATCTGGACAGCTTAACGGCTTAACGGCTCAACGTGCTAAGGAGTTAGGACTGGCACGATCAACAATTCATACTGTAGCAAGACGTTATCGCAAGTGGACGGGTGATCATCGGGTCAAATATCCCAGTTCTGCGGGGTGACAGGGCAAACAGGGATCGACACCGATTATTCAATTCCCGCCACCCACCGCCAGGTGTGTACTGTATGTGTCTTCTAATAATAATGAATCTGGTCTTCTTCTCGCCGCAGCCGCTCTACCGCTCCCGCTCAACCTTCTCTTCACATGCGAGTCATCGCGGCCTCTGCCTCGGCTTCAACGTCTTCCAGGCACGCCTTTTGCGGAATATCAATTTATCAACGTCTTGTCTTGTCTTTCGTACTCGTATAGAGAACGTAATGCTTTCCACACCGTAAGTCTTTCTGGACCATACGAGTAGCTCACACTAACATTCCTCCCGGCTAGGACTTATAGGGTATGTGTCCCATCACTGACACGTCCTTCTCCTGGGTACGTCCTCTCCCAATACCGAAGTAGATGCTTGGATTCCAAAACCGGAGCTGCTTGCGGATATCTGCGCTGGGCTGCCCTGCTTTCAACACCCCCATAGCACGATTATGTCGATGCTCCGTATATACCCAGGCCTCGACCATCATCTCCGCATACCCCCATTAACATCCTCGAAGCCCCATTGCGGAGAACCCTGGTGCCTTACGCTGCAGGATCGAAATCTGATCTAGGATGCAAGTTGGTCCTCTTCGCTAGGACTTTATCCCAGCGTGACGGGGAGCGTAATTGTCAGCAGGTCTCACTGACAGCTATTCAGGGTACGTCCGAGTTACTGTCGCTATTAGAAGAGAAAAATTAACTGGCGCGAGGAGCGCCGAATCTGTCTATAAAAAGGGGCGAAGGGTAAAGGGACCTGTCACATGACCCATACAGGCTAACCACTTGATACAGGTAACCGCTGCAACTTGTCGTGATATTATGTTGCTCTCTGCTAGTACGGGGTCCCAATGAAACCATTCCTTATTTTAACACCGAATCTTCTGTTTGAGAGGTGCGTAGAAGTGAATTTCAGTAAAGTACCAACCTAGGCACATAGCTACCGTCGAGTTATCTATATCAGCAACGATTTATTCCGTCGCTCGGCTGTCGGCAATGAGCCCAAAGCCCCCTTTTCGTCGTAACATTCCTTAATAAGCTAATATAGCCCATATCAAGAATACAATTCCAGAACCTTATTTTATCATGAGTGATAAGGATAAGCAAAAGCCCCCGATCCCGCCATCAGTGTCCCTGATATCAGGCGGCATAGCCGGCGGCGTCGAAGCAGTCACCACCTATCCCTTTGAATTCGCCAAGACCCGAGCCCAACTACGCAACGTTCCCGGAGAGAAGTCCCCGCGAAATCCATTCAGCGTTATCACTAAAGTATACCGACACGAGGGCGTTCGCGCGCTTTATAAAGGATGCGGCGCGTTGGCTTTCGGGAGCGTTGGAAAGGATGCAGCTCGGTTCCTCTCATTCGACACGGTGAAGAATACCTTCAAAGACCCGGAAACCGGCGCGCTCACGCCGATGCGGAATATGTTGGCTGGCATGGCTGCTGGTGTGGTAGCTAGTATCTTCGCCGTCACGCCCACCGAGCGGATCAAAACAGCGCTTATAGACGATGCTCGCGGGGCGCGAAAATATCTCTCTACAATGCATGCAGTACGCTTGATTTTCCATGAAGATGGATTTGTCGGTCTCTACCGGGGATTCGTAGGGACGACGCTGAAGCAAGCTTCGGCTACGGGGTTTCGAATGGGGTCCTACAATATCCTCAAGGATATCCAGGAAGCTCGACATATCAAGCAGAACACGGCAGTTAATTTCATTAATGGGTCGCTGGCGGGGATAATCACGACCCTATGCACGCAACCTTTTGATACTCTGAAGACGAGATCCCAATCGGCGCAGGTGACGACGACGACGCAGGCAATTAAGGGTATTTTGAAAGATGATGGGATTCGGGGGTTCTGGAGGGGGACTATCATGAGGTTATCAAGAACTGTGTTTAGCGGAGGTAAGTTTTCTTCTTCCCGTCAGAATGGAGAAAGGTAAGGGATAATGTAGCTGACGGATTTAAAAGGCATTTTGTTCACAACAGTAGAGGCTGTTTCGAAGGTTATAACTCCTGTTTTATCACCAACAGGCCGTAGTGAGACTTCGCTGCATCTCTAGAGATGCCGTTTAACTTTAGACCATAGACTATTGGAAATATACCATAGAAATCAATAGACAGCGCAACTGCAAAGGTTGCGGCTCGTTTTTTTAAATAACAAAATGGAGAATATGGAGAGCATCAGGAAAGTGTAGAAGTTTAGAAAGTCTCGAAGCTCCTAAGCCTTTCCAGAGTATTGCATGTCTCATTGTTGGCGAGTCGCTATACTTGGCTAGAGGTCTCAAGAATGGTGGTCAGGGAATGATGTGTTTGCCGCAATTAGGTATCTCTAAAGCTAACAAGGCCAGGTTCGTAACGCCGCAGAAATGCTATAGCTCTAAGCATGCAAATGATTGGCCCGGCAAATTACCTCCCAACGCCTCGTTGACCGCCATCCCATAATACGTATATCTCATAATACGTATCGATTCATCACGACATTTCCATTTCCTCATTCTCGTCTGTTTCAGAGCCTAGATGATGCGTTTGGTTGCTGCTGATACTTGCCTTTCTCGTCATCCCACCAAAGCCGAAGCGGGCGCCGCCTAGTCCTCCAACATATTCAAGTTCGTCACCTAATGATATGTGTTAATATATATTTAGATAGCTCAGATCCATTTCTTCAGCAAGCTCACCTCCCACTACCCGCCCTTCCATATCGATCTCCTGGGAGAGCTCCACAAGTGCATGTCGTGGAAGTTTCAAGAAGCCTGGCGTGCGCACAACTCGACCCCAGTGGGTGAGACAGAAGTTTGCGGCACATCTACGAAGCCATTCTTCGTTTGCAATGCCGGCGCAGTGCCATATGGTACATGCGTGATCTACGTCAAGCTCCTTGGAAAGCCGGTTGACGCACAATAGCCTCAAATGCGGAATATCGTACATGTCCGATAGCACTAGCAAGCCTGCAACATCGTTTAAGTCTCCACAGTCCTTGGGATGGATGCTATCCGTGTAGAGATAGTAGAGGAAAGCCTTGACAACCGGATATGGACTTGGGATACGCATTCTCTTAGTGTGGAACTCGGCCATCTGTGCGTTGTAGAGCCTGGCAAAATGCGGCCAGCGGGCTTGTAGAATGAGCTTGTGTACGTGTATAGGAGGGGATGTAGCTGCATCAGGCGCGAGCCATGTTTCTTGGTTTCGACCATCCGCCCCGGTCACACTGGGGATAGAAAGTTGATCCTCATCCCAGTCTCCATCCTTCAATGCTGTAATGACGAAGTCTGTCCCACTTCCAGTCTCCGGCGCTTGGTTGAAGAGTTTGGCTAAATCCGACCCAAGGCCCTTAGACGGCTGTACGACGACTCGTTCTGCTGATTGCAAGCGCGACAGCTCGGCACGAGGTTCTGGAGAGTGATTATTGCCCAATAGACCATAGCGGCGGAGATCAATTTCCAGTATGTCACTATTTTTCATTAGAGGAGATTGATCATTTCCAAAGAGGCTCAAGACTCACCTAAGATATTCCTCAAGGCCACCGGGACCTAGATCTGTTGCAGACGGGTCTGTAGGACAACCAAGGAGCCAAGCTTTAGTGCCTTCCTCATTCATCGTGCAATAATGCCAGCGATATCCAGGTTTAAAGATTTCACGGCCTTCAGCTAGCTTTTGCCAACGCAGAGTATCGAGTTCCAGTGAGGATAGAGAGCATTCCTGAGGGGTAATAGTTGCAGCGGGCGTTACAAAATCAAGGAGAGTGCCGGATGTGTAGATATGGAAATGCATTCCCGACCCTTGGGCTGGGATGTTAGGCCCCGATACAAACTTCAAGGAGGATATTGCCCCAGGTGCAACCGGAGGCGCAGTAGTTAGCTGGAAGGAAGGGGGTTGTATCTGAGCGCTGCTCGAATTCGCAGCATATCCAGAGCTGCCAACAACTGGTGGCGGAGCCATAGCATAGGCAGGACGGGCAGATCCGCCTATTCGGCCAAGTGCGGCGTGCCGGTCCAGGGAACCATAATGCGGCGGAGAATCGAAGGCCGGGCTACCCTTTAGGTCCAACCACCAAATATCGCCAATCTTGTCCATATCCTCGCTCAATCCTCCGAATACCCAAACCTTATCTCCCCAGAGGTATGCTGAGTGGTCAAATCTGCCAACAAATCGCCAAGCCCTAGACCAAGTGAGGGTCTTTAGGTCAAGATAACAGATGTCATCGAGGACATAATTATTATGGCCCGTAATCCCACCCACTATGAAAAGTTTATCGTCATGCAGGACAGCTGCATGTCTCGCCCGGCCTTTCGGGATCGGTCCGGAGACGGTGGGTTGGGTCCAATGGGCGGTTTTTAGGTCGAAGATGATAAGGTCCGAGAGGTAGGTCCGATGCTCATTCTCGCCACCAAATATTAGCAGTTTGTCTCCTTGGTATAGGGTCGCCGTGTGGCCTGGAAGTATTTTAGTTAAAGCGAAATAAAGGAGAAAGGGTGACCAAACCCATTCGAACGCCGGGGATATCGCCATAGTTGTCAACCAGACTCCACTGGTGACTGACCAGATCGAGTCGGAGAACGTGGTTGTAGACTTCATCGGTGTATTGATCGAAGCCGCCAAAGGCATAGATCTGGTTATTACCCGTATATGTAACAGAAGCATTTACCAAACAGGCAGGCCTCTGCCCCAACGTTCTCGTCACCGGTGGATAGTACCCATAGCCATCGTTATTTTGCCTTCCCTTGACAGGCGAGTTTGGCATGAGAAATGTATTGTTCGACGAAGTTGCTGAACCCGGGACCATGGCCGTCGAAGTCGAGAGATAATTTGCACTAGACAACTGTGGCAGTGCCCCCGAACCCGGTCCAAAGATGGACGAGCAGGATGCTCCCGAAGGAGTGGAAGGCTGCTGAGCCATGCCGCCAGTCTGCTAAGCCGTCATGCTAGACCTCGTCTACAGTCTGATTCCAAAGCCGAAGACTGGTGGTGGTCCGCGCAGACGATCCAGATCTAGGCAGTACGAAGGAATATATCAACGATCTCGGCAAGAAAGTTATAACCGTTGCTCGATACTAGTCGTTATGGTGGAAATTTGCAGATCGGGCGAAAGTTGATGGCCGAGACAGCGTCGGGAAGTCGTGCCTGACATGAGATAAGAGACTGGGGGCGCGCCTCAGGCCCAAAGAGTGGCTGCCTCAAGGATGCCTTGGCAATTGGGTCGCATTAGCGTGCCCCATTACGCCTCAGGCCGCAGTTCGTCCCTGTAGCAACCACGCTAGACAAGTAAACAATGGTTTTCCTATGAAAGGCCGCCTCCTTTCACTCTCCTCTACCTTCTTTTCCTCCTCATGCTCATTGCTCATCTACAAACCCGCATCCCTCAAACCTCTCTATCCTCTCTATCCTCGCACACCTTCTTAAAATTTTCATCAAATCAAGAACACTCCAAGTCAACTAGATCTTCGTGCAGCGGCTCCGTACCGCCATTGATCGACATCCGACTAAGGTGTTCTTCCACGAAGACACTTCCATATACCGTGGATAATACGACGAATTACTAACCAAACAACTGCCAGGAACCATTAGGTTGAGTCTCTTGGAGCTCGTTCGATATACCGAACCCCCATATCATCAATCAATATATTTATATCGGTTTTGACCGACCTCAAACCCCATTGATATTACACCATGGCGACTTTAGTATCAACCCCAATCAAGTCCCATGCCGGACTCTTTTCCACACGCACCGCTGGCGGGCGTATGCCCTTGACTCCTTCTCCACGCACCAGAGCAGCAGCAGTTTCGAATAACCAGAAGTCCTCTCCGTTCACGCCCGAGAGAAAGGCACTGGACAACGGCAATGTCAAGGTAGCATCGAAGTCAGTCTACGGCGGAAACTTGTCATCGCACTTCTCGAAGTCCTCCAGAACCACCCACCGCGATTCTCCAAAATCCAACATTGCCAAGGGTGCAAAAACACCTCGCCGTGCTCTAGAGCTCGGTGTTTCTGACTTTGCACTTACTGGTACTGGATGCAAGACTCCTGTTAGTAGCCGGTCACGAAAGGCACCTCTTCGTCAGCAGTCTACCAAAACCACGTTATCTTTCGGTGACAGGTTCATCCCCAATAGGGCTGCTAGCTCAGCTATTGCCACTGTTGGGTCCGGAAAGCTTGACGTTGGTGATAAGCAACGACCAAAGACAAGCGGAGGAGAGAGTTCATCAGCTCTGGCTTCGGCTGCCGACGATGCACTGGCGGCTCTTGGGTCCTTGTCGTTGAATGACGATGAGCCATCCACCTACTCTAGGCCTTCACCCAACACCGTTGCGTACCAAGATTCATTGGCTTCAGCTTGCGGAGTGTCCCTCAATCAACGGATCCTTGCTTTCAAGCCAGCTCCCCCAGAGTCATCCAAACCAGTGGATCTTCGATCTCAATACAACCGGCCCCTGAAGAATGCCAATGCCGCCTCGGCCCAATTCAGACGCCGCGTTGCCACCGCCCCCGAGCGAGTTCTGGATGCACCTGGACTCGTCGATGATTACTACCTCAACCTCCTCGATTGGTCATCTGGGAATCAAGTTGCTATCGGACTTGAACGCAATGTTTACGTCTGGTCAGCCGAATCTGGAACTGTCAGCTCGCTTCTGGAGACAAGCCCAGACACCTACGTCAGCAGTGTGAAGTGGTCCGGCGATGGAGCCTATGTCAGTGTTGGCCTGGGAACAGGAGAGGTCCAAATTTGGGACGTTGAGGATGGCACCAAGCTTCGAAGCATGCATGGCCATGACTCTCGTGTTGGTGTCATGGGCTGGAACAAGCATACTCTCTCCACCGGTGCACGATCAGGTCTTGTCTTTAACCATGATGTTAGAATCGCTCAGCATAAGGTCGCTGAGCTCGTTTCACACACTTCTGAGGTGTGCGGTCTCGAATGGCGGGCTGATGGTGCTCAACTTGCCACTGGTGGCAACGACAATCTCGTTTCCATTTGGGATGCCAGATCCTTGGCCGTTCCAAAGTTTACCAAGACCAACCACAAGGCTGCCGTCAAGGCTCTTAGCTGGTGCCCATGGCAGCCAAACGTGCTTGCTACTGGTGGTGGATCATACGACCGTCACATCCACTTCTGGAATACTACAACTGGAGCGCGTGTCAACAGCATTGATACCGGATCCCAGGTCACCAGCCTTCGGTGGTCGCCCCATTACCGCGAGATCGTGAGCACCAGTGGTTTCCCCGACAACTCCATCTCCATCTGGAGCTATCCTACCTTGGTCCGCAACGTCGAGATTCCTGCACATGAGACCAGAGTGCTTCACAGCTGCCTGAGCCCAGACGGACAGATGCTTGCAACAGCCGGTAAGTTATTGAGCAATCTATTTTCTATATATCTGACTAACAATCCGATAGCGGCCGATGAAAGCTTGAAGTTCTGGAAGGTGTTCGAGAAAAAGGCTGGATCTGCCTCCTCGGCAAGCGTTGCAGGTGCCTCAGGAAAGGCGGATATGGTTAAGCAAATGACAATTCGCTGAACGGCGGAGGTCACCAAGGCTCTGAAGTGCTCGGACTTCAAGAGAGCAAACGGTAAAGTATTAAGAAACATTCCATACTTGCTTTAGCGGTTGGATTGGCAGTGCGGAGTTGAGGAGTTTCATGTTGTGGTCTCTCGATACCCACGGCCGAAAGTGCTTCACCTGTGTGGATAATGCTTAACGATGGATGATTGGAAAGGTCTCGGATAGACATTCTTGGCAGTAGCGTTCTTTGTCCATAGGACACGTGTATTTTAGAACTTACAATCAAGGATGGCGTTATTTAATACTTCGTAACATCTAGTGAGAAAGTTGCTTTAGGTTTCGCCTGCATCTATATTTAACCCCCCTTTACATACCTACCTAGCCGCACTTACGGAGTATATATGATGATGGTGAGAATGCCAGATGAGCAGGTGACAAAGGGTAATAACTTGAAGAGGACAATCCCCCCCTCCCCCCCCCTACATTATCATATTGAGCTGAGTACCTAGGTAGACAAATATCGTCGAGTGAAAGTGTAGATGGGACAAAGAACCCAGACGATGGCACTGAATTATTATCACGGAGGCGGCTCCACGGCGATCTGGCGGAGGTGGAGCGAGGCTGGCCACCGATACGCATGACTAAGCAAGCGAAGAATCCATCGCCCTACATCTCGACGAAGTCACCTCGCTCTTACAACTCCACCAGCCAAGGACGACAAACGTCCAACTTCCCCTGCGCAATCCAGATAAAAGTCACATCGCCCGTTGCAGCAGATAGCCCAGGGTTGAGAGAGGTATACAGGCAAGGGGGCAGTCACGCATTCACTGGAGGTTGAGGAGAGGGGACGACGGTCTCGATCTTTCCTACGACGAGCAAGCCTTCTTCGGCATCAACGCTCTTGCGACAACAATATCCTCCGTTGCTCGTAATCGAATTCGATCGCATGTAGCAAGACGAGACATTGCATTTCCCTAAGCCTATCGCCGCGCCCGTCCAGAGCATCGGCCTGGAGTCGGAGAGATCGCCCGGTCCAAAACGCCCAATCCCCCCGCGACATACCTATCTCACCATCCGCTACGAAGATCGTTTGCGACAATCTGACAGGATGTCGAACACGCAAGTCGGAAACGTGTACCAGCAGATCATCGCAGATGTAATCGAGAGCTCGAGAGTCGATGTCGAGGAGGGTGGCGTCGAGGAGAACGTGCTGGAGGAGTTGCGCCAGGTATGACACAATCTCACTCACTTCCCATCCTTCATTTTCGTCATCACCGTCGGCCTACGAACCATCTTGCAAGCGCCCTCCCATTTCCCATGTCCCATTTCCATTTTCCATTCTGCGCCCGTCTACCATCTGCCATCGCATGCGGTTGGCGCCCTGGGAGAGAAATGCGCTGTGCATCACGATGCTCTGTCGGCCACAGATCGTAGGGAGAGTTCTGGCGCTGAAGTTGGTGCTGGGGCTGGCGGGCTGGCTTGGCCCTCGCTCAGTCTCGCTCGCTGTCTCTCCTCCTCCAGCGGGTGGGCGACGCTGAGTATTTGGCTGTTGGGGTCTGCCTTTATACCCGCAACCGGCCCTTCGCTTAGCAGGTTTCATCCAGGACGCTAGGCTGTTTTGGGTCCCCTCGCGGTCACTGACGGTCCACAGCCATGTCGTGTCACGTGCCCGCCCTCCCTCTCCCCCTTTCTTGTCCCCAGCGGGAATGCAACAGATATGGTGTCTTGGGCTATGTGTGTGTCTATCCAAGCATCCTCCGTGCCACCTCCTGTTATCCCGGTTCGCTTTTGATATTCCAGCTCAGCTGAGCGAGCTAGCTAGCTTTATATATTTCCTTCCTGCTAATATCCCCCCTTTAGGTATGGCAGCAGAAACTGTCCTCGCTGAAGGTTGCTACCTTCCCCTGGGACCCGAAGCCCGAGCCAGCACCAGCCATCAGCAACCCCCCCACCGTGCCTTCCAACGCCAGTAGTTATGCTATGAGCACTCCACCACCCCCAACCACCCAGGCCCCGCTTGGTATGCCTCAGGTTCCGGCCATGAATAATAATGCCAATGGAACCCGCATCAAGACTGAGCCTGGCTTGGAAGGCCAACCCGGCATGGCCCAAAACCCCTACCAAAACCCCGTTCTCTCCATGCCCAATGCCACCACGGCCCAACAAAGGGCGGCACAGCATCTGCAAAACAATTATGGACCGCGAGCGGCGGCATCCATCAATGCCATTCAAGCTGGGGCGGCTCAGCAACCACAGAATCCCCAACCAAATATGCAACAGATGCAACAGATGCAGCAGCAACACCAAGCGATGCAGCAGCAGCAGCAGCAGCAGCAGCAGTCGTTGCAACCGCAGCAAGTGCAGCAGATGCAACAACAGCAACAACAGCAACGCGCGGGCCAAATACCCAGCCAGAGACCACCGCAAACCACAGAGCAGTATAGGCAGGCAATGGTCGCCCAGGCCGCTCAAGCTCAACAGCGACTGCAAAATCCTCAGAATCAGAATGGCGTTAACCCGTCTCAAACTGACGGCGCTGGTGATGAGATGGAAGAATCCAATGGCCTTATCAAGCAGTTTAACGCAGATGGCGAAGAAGTTGCATTAGGCAGAGTTGATATTGATGGCTTGATTCGCCAAAAGATCGAGGCCATGGGCCAGAGAATGGAGGGTGGCGGCTTGATGCTTCCGTTGCATAAAGCATCCACTCCCTCGACACGTCAACGCAAGGTCAAGAAGTCGGCATCTGGAACGGTACCACAACAAGATGGGCCCGGGGATGACGACGAGGCTAAGGATAACGTCAAGGATGAAGATTTTGACGAGGATGCAATTAATTCCGATCTGGATGATCCCGATGATGGACTCAATGACGATGAAGATGATGAGGAAGGCATGGGTCATATCATGCTTTGCATGTACGATAAGGTACAGAGGGTTAAAAACAAGTGGTAAGTTATCAATAATTGGCCGTACAGCAGAGCAAGCAAATGCTAATAATATGATAGGAAGTGCGTTATGAAGGACGGCGTGCTCACCGTTAATGGGAAGGAGTACGTCTTTCACAAAGCTCAGGGTGAGTACGAGTGGTAAATTTCATGACAGAATAGTACCTCTCATTACTTGCCTTGCTATAATCTCTTCCTCCGCCATTTGAGGCTACGGTTTTTATAGGCGGGAAGGCTTCCCCGGACCTCGCAGACGCGTATCTCCATGTCGCCAACTCTCTAGTCACTGAAAATAAAGACATCTCACATCAAACTCCCCATCAGAAGCTGTGCCTCTAAAGCTTTCCCTCAGCATTCAACCACAATCAGAATGAACATGATGACGACCTTGCCCCTTTCGCCCTGCGTTCTCAGCCATCCATTTATAGGGAACTCCACTTGTGGTTCTGCAGGCACGGTTAATCAGAAATAAATAGCTTTATATCAGACAATCAAATCAAATATTTCCCAACTACCGTAACTTCCCACATTCCAATGTGTCAGATCTTAGAAGAATGCATAGACTACTCATATCATAGCAATTTTGAGAATCGATGATTTTTTTATGCCCCAATCTTGGTCTCTGTAGCTGTGATTGCTACAATGATGAGTCTGTGGACATAGGACTCTGCAGTGGCGTTGTACCGCAGGTTGAGGTGTGCTTTAAGCTGTGTACGCTGCTCGTTCCCATATTTAGAACTCTTCAGGTCCGAGCACATATGTCGATCTCGTATCTCGATTGACGAATTACATCACAATGCGCTCCTTCACCCCCAATACAATATCATATCCCGGCTTCTCAAGCTCCATCTCTCTTTAGTCCAGCCGTTCTCTACCTCGATGGTTCCAGGGCTGTGAATTCTACTTCACGTGAAAAGCAGCGCGTAGAAAGCGCTTAGTTCTCCAAACTCTACGTATCTCCCTGCTCGAAAGCTCAGCTGTACCACGGTATCCTTTGATCCACACTACAATGTTCTCTTGTACCTAATATTGGATCCTTGACAGTAGTCCAGTCCACTGGTTAGCGCCATTTCAGGGAGAGGTAGCCACTCTTCGTACCACCCAGGACATGCCCTCCACATCCAAAATAGATTTCTCTGAATACGTCTTGTATTCATCTCATACTATATCCTCGGGAACCGGACTCGATTCCTACATCAAGCCTTCAAAGTTCCGAGTCAACTAACACTCAAGTGAATATAATAATGTTAAAGCTACGGTTCAAAAGCTGGGATTACGTCCCCCCTCGCGCAATATCCCACCCCTAAGAACATGCACGTAACTAGGAAAGATAGACCGAGAGTAGTGGGATCTTCCGGCGATGCATAGTTAGGACTAAAGGTTTAATGTATTTTAGATAATTATATTTACAATATATATACAGCTGGATATAGGATATAATTGCTCCCCTACTCACACAGTAAAACGGAGTAGGAGCCTTTTGGTAAAAATATCATACTACCCCACCAACCCAGCGCTTATTTCACCCATGCATCCACACGTGGCATATATAGTAAAGCGTGAAGATAGATCGTAAATTCGCAAAGCATTACTGCAGTTGCCATCAGCATCGTTGTCGCGTTCCGCCCGTCTCCATAATTGATTGTGTCAAGCCTGCACGTCGATAACCAACCCCTTGACTCAGAAGATTGATTTCAGATTGAAACATCTCTTCCTGGCTACCTCACGCCACGTTCGGCGCTGCACTGCCTGGGCTGCCGCTCGTGGCCTGCCTGGAACCAATCTTTTCCATGTCACTTGCTCCCGTCATGTCTCGCCTTTGTGCAACACCAGCATACCAAGACAGCTTGAACCTCGTGTAGGAGCACAGAAATAAGTCTCAAATTCATACTTTTGCTGTCGCTGGCCTGCTTTACCCTACTTCCCGCCTGGAAGCGCCCTTACTCCTGTCCGCGGTATTGGTGTCTCGTTGCCATTGCCTTCTCCGCACCTGCGATCCGCCCCCAATTTTAAAATGAATTTCCAATTATTCTCCCTTAGGGCGGGCTGGCTTGATTCGTCGGAGATTTCCGGCAGCGTCTCGATAGACCAGTCTCTTGGTGCAGTGCATTGCAGCAGGCAATCGGCTCCAGTAAAACTCGATTTCCTTCCCAACGCTGATGCGCAACCGGCCTTTCCCCTCAGTTCTCTCAAGCAGCACGACAGACCACCCTTGCCGAACTCGTTAGGTCTCTGTTTCCTCACCGCCATCTACCCTTTTTCTCATGTCACCTTTTCCATGCACAGAAACATCTGATACCAAGACCCCACCGATACTTAGAAGCCACACACATAGCTTGCAACTTGCCAACTCATCACAAGGCGTCCTGGTGCCGGCCATCCTCTGGCACGCACACTGATTGACACGTCACATTCCCTTGAACCACCCCTCCTCTCAACGGGCTGCGGCATACAATTCGGCAGTAGCGCTGGGGGTCAAAGCTGTTCCAAACCGTCGGGTCGTGGTGTAGCCACTCGAAAGACAGTGACGGTGTTGCAATACGTTGTGTTGCGAGGCGTTGCAAGGCGTTGTTTTGCGATGCGTGCTGCTGCGCCTCGGGCTTGCCTGCCCTCCGCTCCCGCCTCCTTGCTTGTTTTGCCCGTTTCCTGGGCGCGGACACACCGGTTCGGACCGCGGCTGCGTCTGCCGTGGCGAATGGGAAGTGGGGGCTCGGCCACCTTCCTAATCCATAGCGATTCGGAGCTCAGTAACACTTTTCCGAGCAGCCGCGAAACAGGGCTGTTGTCCAAAATCTGCTGCTGGTGCAGGCGCTTAGAGGTGCATATGCAAATTCCAGCTATGCGCGCGCATTCATAGTAATTGGCGGCATGCGGTTATGGTGGGCCTAGAAAGTCCGCCTATCACTCGCTCGTGCGAGTCCCCCGTGGCCCGGTTAAAATCAAATGCTCAAATAACAGAGCGGATACAGATGCCCATGTCGTTGTGCCGAAGAGGTCGTGCTTCAGGGAGCCTACCGGGAGGTTTCAAGGTCGTGCAGGTGAGCGTAGACAGCTTGGGGGCGTTTGGAGGTTCTGCCTTGCGTTAAGAAACACAGTCTCAGGCTGAGCTTGGACGGCGGGCGATCCAGATGTGCCTATTTGATTTTGCTTAGCAGGTTAAAATTGAGTGGAATGGAGGTGACTGGCCGGTCCCAGTATGACAGTGCTGTTGAGATGTAAAGAAGACGGAGAATGAGGACTTACATGTTGCAATAGGCATGGATATGCTTGGAACAAATCTCTTTCTTCGCATCTTGGATTAACTTATCTACGTCGGATTTCTTCCAGTTTCGCACTGTTGTCATGGGCCCCAATGTGAGGGCTTCCAACCCTTGAGTCAGGCCGAGATTGTACCACCGTCCAATATCCTTTAAATGCGTATCGGTGGGCCAAGGGTTGAAAGGCACCTTGATGACTTGTTCTTGGATCTCCACAAAGCCTTGATGTTCCAACATCGAACGTGTTTGCGTGTTATATGCCAAGGGTCGGGAGTGGTCTTGTGTGGCGCTCATTATTTGCTGGGTCCATTGCACCAGATTGGAGGTCGGCGGAAGCGTCCCGTCATCGCAAAGAGGAGTCATGTCTATTTCAATGTGTTCGAGCCAGCCGTAGCCCGGCCTGAGATGCCTGAGTATTTGGTCAGATTTTGGAAAAGGATTTGGGGTCACTACTTTCCGTACCTATAAACCTTAGAATACAGATCTGGCCAATTTCCGACGCTGCCATTGAGTAGCCGCATATGTATCAGATCCCAATGATCCAGACCTAGGTCGTGCCAAGGCGATTCAAGGTCTCGTTTTTTAAATGACAGATTCGCGGGGATCCTGGGTGAGGTGTGAGCAAGTCGGATAGAATGGTGATAGATGGCGCACTTACTCTCGCGGCTGCATATATGACAGGTCCATCCCTTGAATTTCTACTTTTTGATATGTGCTGTTTAATTTACTATTCAAAAATTGTCAGTGTTTCGTACAGATAAACTCCAGGCCTGTATTGTAGTAGAATAGGAGTCTTACTCGCCGATGTCGATTGCCTAGCTCAGGATATCAGCACAAACTCGTTCTCACGAGTGACTCCCAGACTCACCCAAATTCCTGTTCCTGTTCCTATATCTAGTATTCGCGGCCCTTCGTTATGGTTGGGCGTAATCGGGGCAGAATAGAGCACGCCTCGTCTTGCGACAGAGAAGAACTTATGATAAATATCCATACGGTCCATCTCTGCCTATAAATTCCTACACATTAGCCAAGCTACTCTCTGTGCTCTAGAAGCGCCGCAGATGTCGTGGGGAATCCCGAAATTACCTCGTCGCATGGAAACAAATATTTGCCCGGTGAAAATCCATGGTATTCTCTGCCATTCTCCCAATAGTTATAGTTTACGGGGGTTGTCGATTCCGGCGAGGGCGGGGCGATGTGAGGCATTCTGAGGGTAGCACAAAGTCAGCAATGGCTAGCAGATGCGAAGATAATAGAATAAAGAGATTATAATGCCGCATCACGGAAAATCACGCAGCTAGGGCGCCAAAATTTGAATTCGAGGGGCGCTGTTGCATGTGAGAGCGGCGGGACTGCCAACGACCACTTGTGCATCCAGGCTCGACAAGTAGGAACAAACGTACCCATTAGTGGCCATGGCCACAACCATCGAGGCAACTGGGACCGGGTCGTTTTGCTTGTGCGAGGTCTTTGGGGCGGAGTTTATTACAGAATTCATGTGTCGGGTATTGGGGGCCCCACGGTCGGTTGGTACCAGAATTTCGAAGATAAGGGCAGCCCAAGACAAGATGGCTGTTTAGAAGAGATCGATACCTGGTGAAAGGTATGTGGGCGGGAAGTTAGTATGAAGGCAAGAAAGGAGTAATGAATGGCGAAGATTGGAAGACTGTTGCGCAAGCCAGAGTGGCCGGACTTGTTTTTGGGGGGGGGGGGGTGGAGGGGAGCGGAGGTAGCACTCCCAGTCTCTTTTCCACACGGTGCAGAAATTGGATGGTGCCTCGCGACGGAGGGACCAGCAACCACTCGCCAGGCCTCTCGTGCAGGATGATCTGTGACGAGGGGGATGGGGCCCAGGGGGCACTGACGGCGGCACCGAACCTAGAAATTCGGCGGTTGGAGGAGATCTCGAGGCGTAACAGCACTACTAGGTCGTAGGCCGAAGTATATAAAAAAGGCACCGCGTGCTGTCGTATCGCTAGAATGGCAGCTTGAGACTCGGCTCGATTCTCTCGGCGGTATCTCTCTGCTCTCTGTCACCCTCTGCTCTCTCGCCTCGCCACTTCGTACTTCGTATCTCTCCCTCTCTCTGGCTCGCCCGGTGCAATGCCTGTCAACAACCCAGCTCGCGGGCAGCTTGGCAACCTAACGCTGGGAACCTAGAAGCGGTTGCGGCGCGGGGAATGGCAATAATGGGAATTGGAGTCGAGTGGATGCGCGCGCAAGAAGCTGTCAGGCGCGAAGATGTGGGGGGAGGCTTGGATGTTTTAAAATAAGACACAGGCAGCTGATCGCCGGGGGGAGGACGCCTCTAACAAATACCGATTTGTATGCACTCCGAAACCCAGGGGACGGGAACGGGAACGGAAGCAGAGGCTGAGTGAAAGTTTGGGGAATTGAGAGCTCTGGCTGGAGTGGAAGCTATAGACGCCTCGTCGAAGCTGGATGCGGACGCGGATGCAACTGCAGAATGCCGCCGATGCTGCGGACAAAGGCAGAGGGCGAGATTGGTACTCAATTCCGGCACCGTCGACGACGGTAGCACGACGGACGTAATAGTCAATGACCAGTCGAGGTGGAGCTAGAGGTTGAGGAGGTGGGTTTCGAGGACTCCGGGAGAGTCTGCGCAGAGGAGCAGGCTGGGGTGGAGGGCGAAGAAAACCCAACGCACTCGGGTTTCCAATTCAAATATTCTAGCTCCTCTCCAATCGGATTATTCTAATTCCTGTGTGTATCTGGCGGTCGTCCTCCAAATTCCCCGACGCAATTGGTGGCCAGGCGTGGGCGAGAGATGCAAGGAGGTTCGAGGGGATGGGGGAGCTGTTGGAGTAACGCGAAAATGGTCGATCCCTGAAATACTGTACTAGTCGAGAAGGATAGTGATAGGAATAGGAATGGAAATGGGACAGCCCCTCGTAACGGTGTAACAGTACAGCAGTGTAACAATTTGCCTACGTAACTGCTGCTGAAGGCTGTGGAAAACGTTCAGCCGTCGAACGTGGTGATCCCCACCTAGTTGCGACCGCGTCCAACGCCTGGTGAGCCCGAAGCTTGTCCGGCAGCTTCTGAACCTCTAGGAGGGCGTGCTCGGTGAACACCAAGGGGATTTGTCGAGTAATCGTCGTTTTCCTGGCCGAAAGGGGGAGTTCTCCAGATGGGTTGTGATTCCGCGTAACCACACTTTTATCTTCCTGCTTGGCGCAACCACCAGGTGCCCACTGTCCACGGTCCGCCGTCCACAGGGTATAGATAGTCCCACGGCTGCGAGGGAGGGAGGTTTATTAGAAGAAATGCGGGCGGGCTTACTTCGAATTTTGAGTGAGGTTGAGGTTGAGGTTGAGGATGGGGATATGGGGACCGGGCAGGAGGTGGGCAAGGCTTTGGTTTTATTCGTGTCCATCGCCCTGCAGACGAGACGGCCACCAGCAAACCAACAAGTCAACGACACAAAGAAAGTCGGCAACCACAGACAACGCTGGTGTCGGGTGTCAGTGCAACAGTTGGAACTAGGAACTGACTGTGCGTTTGCCCCCGTGGGATGGGATAAGCCAGAGGGATAGCCCGGCGCTACGGTAACTGACTGGGAACAGGTGTTTAGGGATAAGGATTAGGGATTCATGGCTTGCTAGGCGGGGCTTGGGTGATGAGCAGAGATTGCCCTGAACTTCCGAAGGTCGACGGGATGGGGCACACACTTCGTACCTCGAGGATACATGGGACGTTCTGTATTGGGACTTTCCTCATAGTGCGGGGTGTGCCACAGATCAAGAGGGTAAGTCACCATCATATCACTTGTGTCCAAGGTATTATTGTACCGTAGACAGATACAGACAAGAGTACTGACGCTACTTGCTACAGGCAGGTGGTTACCATACCTTTCCCTCTTGCGGAAAGCTGCCAGTATCCATATGCTTCCATTTCGCATTCAAAAACGAGACCCGATCACCACAGACCTCCGGTACCAGTAGGTGCTCCTTGCCTCGTCCACCGGCCACAACGACACACGTACTGTACTGTACGTCCGGAGTAGACGTCGTAGAGACCGCAGCCCCTGGGAGCAACATGTACAAGTACCCATGGTTCAGGGGATCACCGACGGCGCCGGCGAATCAGACAGTCGCATCCACCCCATCCCCAGACCCAGAGGGATGCGGTAATTGTTTTGCGGCCGACTAGGAGGACCCAAGGATATGGTTACAGTGCGGAAGGAGAGCGCCGCCAGCGAAACTCTGCCGCAGTGCCGCTCGATTGCCCTGCGCATTGCTTGCTGTTCGGAGCATTGTGCCACAGGGATGAGCATCTCCGATTTCCCAGTGACCTGGACTAGGGCAGGGAATGAAAAGAGATACTGTACGGAGGAGGGGGAGATGCTCGGTCGCTACTACTGGTGAGAGTTGGGTAGAACAAGACTCCGCTGTATGAGTCGTTGGGCATTCTTTTCGAGCGTCTACAGCTCCGATTGTGCAGCGCCGACCAACAACCAACACAGAAGTTGTTGGATTAGGTTTCCGGATCGGCTCTGTAACTACTAGATACTACAGTAGTTCCGACCCAACACTCGACGCGCCTGGCGCGGGAAAGTCTGTCGATGGCGGAAGGAGACCTGGCCATGGCAGGGTCGAGCCCGACAAGGGCTTCACAAAGGAACGGTGGAGGGATAGTGGGAAAATGGAAAATAAGTTCAGGATCGAAGAGGGGCACTGGAATGCGATAGGCCCGGTGATTTTATTTATTTATGCTTTTATACAGAATATCGGACTCTAGAACATGCGGATGGAGACTCAGCCCAGGGCAGGGTTGCGATTGCTGCGATGTGTCGATGCGTCGATGAGACACGCTGCCACGAGATGAAAGTATTCGACCACAGAAGAGAGAAGATAAGGCCTCGCGGCGCCGTGCATGCTACAACACAGCATTCCTTCGTACCACTCCGCACGACGAGTACGAAGCAGTGCTACGGGGCCGGTGAAGGGGAAGTGGAAGTGGAAGTGGAAGTGAAGTTTCGTGTTTCAGTCACGACGAGAACCCGCCAGCTTGGGAAGCGGGCCGGGGGAGGCGGACGGGCGAAACCAGGTTGTCATTCGTGCTGTCCAATGCGGCCGGGATCGTCAGCAGTGGGATGAGATGCGCCCTGCCAGTCCGCTGGGTCGCCGAGACACTGCTCAGTGGACTACTTTCTTCAAGCTGTGTTGGCGGTGTGTGTTGTTCGCTGACACCCCCCCCCCCCTCGCTGCTACTAGACTCCGCGAGTTCAGTCCAACTTGCCAACTGTTGGAACTACGAAGACATTGGTTGGCAACCTGGCGCCCACCACTCGTACTTCGTACATGTACGAAGTACCAAGTACGTACAGTACGTGCTATAGGCGTTCCATCCTGGCGGTATCACTGTCTCACCAAAGTGGAGTCGAGTCGGCTGCAGCTGGCGGTCATCTCGATTCTCGACACAGTTGGAGTGATCCAGGAGCTGAAAGCGCTTTATTACTCCGCATGTTCCTGCTTCCTACCATGCCATCCACCTGGACTACGAAACGAACCACCTCGGCAAGCTCATCCTTATCGCTGTCGCATGGGACGATATCACCGCCAATATGACTGTTCCTACCGATCCCATCTGGGGGTCTCACCTCTTCGAACCTCTAAGCCCAGCCAACCGTCGCCGCTCTCCACGACACGTCCCTGGTGCTGGAATTTTCTACTTATCATACGGAGCATGGTGTACTACGGTACTTCGCAAGACATTTATTGCCGTAACGCAATTCTCTCTCAGTGGACCGTTTCACCACCGTAAGAGCGTACCTTTTTGAATTGCTGATTGAGTCATTGGCGAGTCCTGGCACTCGAGCATGCAGCCTCTTTTGTCCAATCGCACAATTTCACACCTCACCACCAGGCCAGGACTCGAGCTTCGATGTGAACTACGTACGGTATCGGGATTCCGGGTCTCTATATCCTCATCCGACTGGGCGACCGTCTTCTCATCCTTACCACCTTACTACGCCTTATATTTCTCGCCGTTCGCGACCACCGGGTCTCTCAGCTCACAGGTATCACAAACCTCATACGGAGTACGCTCGGAGCCATTGCTCGGGTTCTCCAAGTATCCTTCCACCAGTGAATTTATAAAACGCCGTATATAGGAACGGACGCCGGAACAACCTCGTTTTCAGCTAAAGTGAGATCCATGGTTCCCATAATAGCGCCCAAGGAGATGTCCAGATTCCATCTGATCGAGTCGGATGCAGACGCATCGCCCAAGTCCAATATTTGAATGCCAGACACGGCGCACAAGTTCTTCTTCCTCTCCACGCATGACAAATTGGCCATGTCCTTGCACTGCGCGGCTTCCCGCATGGGCTTCGTGTACGGTATTCGTATTTGAGAGGCTCAGAGCACATGGGAATTTCTTTTTCTCGCAGTGGGCACTTGGCACCACCCAAATGGACGGATCGCTTGCTCTTCAGGACGATGGTGTTGTCCTCGCTTATCTTTTCTAGGCGAC